ACCACCAAAAAACAAAAAAAAAAAACCCAACAAAAACCACCATTAAAATAAGGGACTACCTGCAGATGGATATAAGTATCAAAATTCTTGTTCTGTGCTCTAAAGAAATTCAAACTAGTAATAGTCAGTGATGGATTATGGGTAAGCTTTGTACAAAACGGAATTCCAATCAATGAAATGTAAAGGAGTATTTGTATCTTTGAATATGGAGCAATACATCAAGATACTAATTCTTAAAGGACCTTAGCTTTATCTCAACAGTAAATAATTGTAAATGCAGAGGTATTAAAATATGTTACAGTTTATGTCTTCAATGACTTCCTGGTATTAAACCAAAAGTCTGTCTACTCAACAGACTTAATTGCTGTTGAACAAGAGTATGCTCTGTCTAGTCTCTGTGCCAAGATTGCTAGACTAGAACTCTTCCTTATACCAGTGACTGAGAACTTCCAAACTTAAGGAAAAACGACTGCTTCAGAGGCTTACTCTGCTCTGGTCTAATTGTATGTAGTCTTTAGAATATTGGACACACTGACAAAGGAGATTAATCAGAACTGGCTTTGACAAGCACTGTGGCAACTGGACAATTAAAACAGACTTTCAAGTGGGGGAAAAAAAAGAGGAACGAACTGGGGGGAAGGGTAGAGAAAATAGTGCAACAATGAATGAATGGAAACCCAAAATTTCTGTAAATGTTCATTAAAATTAATAAAATTTAATAATAATAAAAAAGAATATTGGGAAGGGTGTGGGCAGTACAAAGGTCATTAAGTAAAGAGGCTGAGTCCACTCAGAGGTTCTTTGAAATACAGGTCTTGCCATCCATCTATTTCCAGAAAATGAGTTCTTGAAAACCTGATGGACATAGTTCTACACTATTACACTGAGGCTGTTGAGTTGAAACTGATTTGGTAGCAATGGATAATCTTTACATTGCTAAATTTATGTTCTTTGTGAAGAATATGTAAAACACTTAGCACAAAGCCTGTTATACAGAAAGTGCTCAATAAATACTTACTGGTCGTGAATTTCTGGTCTTTCTTGGATCAAACCCTAATAGGCACTCTGAATTGCCTGTGGGCTTCACATTCTTTTTCATTTGATTTCTTTTCCTGTGGTGATCTTAACAACTACAGGTTTTGGCAAATGGTCTCCTGAAGTCTTAACGCTCCCTGGGGTTAGGTGCTAACTTCAGCACCTGAATAATAAAAGGCCCTGGGCTCTATTTCTAGAAGAGATATATAGATTTGACATGTAAGCTCCCCTGAGAGTCACATACAAAATGGAAAGAGATCATGTTTCATACAAAAAAAGTGGAAACTACACTCCACTTTCTCATCAGCAGTCACAATTTCCTCGCTAGTTTCTAATGCTTTCTCTTACTGCACCAGCCCTTGCTAGGAAGGTGGGTAGGGTATGTCCTCCTCCAACTGAACCTCATTAGGAACAGACAGTCATGAGGACTTGGGAAGCTGCCTTTTCTTCCACACCCAGCAACTCTCCCTACCTGACAACACTGATAAGTTTTAGAGTCAATCTATTCCTTAATTTGCTAACAGCATTTCCTAAAATGTTGTACTTGTGGAACGATGACCAATTAAACATCTGAATTCATGAAACAATGACAATCCATTTTATAATAATAGTTGCTTCTTTGCAGAATGAATTCATTAGACAACTAAAAGAGAAAAAAATATCAATTTCACTGAAAAAGAGCAAGGTAAAGGCAAGCTACCTATCTCACATTTTCAAACAAAGTGATGTCTTTACTCTCTAAACTTTTTTCCATACTTATTTTAAATACATGATTATAAAATATTACTAAAATTCTCCAACAACATTAATTCTTTCAGTTAAATGATACTCCAATATGTGCTACTTTCTATGGCAAAAATATTTTGTCATCCACACATGATTAATGTCTTTAATAGGAGAAGGTTCATTTCCCAATGACTCCACAAGTATCTGATTCAATTAGTTTCAGAAAAACAAATGAGTTTTCTGATGTAGTTCTAAAATTAATCTGGAAATTAAAATAAACAACTGCTTTAAAATTTATGAGTGCAAACCAACAACTTAAAATAGCTTTGGTGGTTCATCACTTCATTCAGGAAAGATACACTGTGTGAGTCTTAGTAAGTGGTTTTTTAGAATGTTCCTAGTCTTTTTGTCACCACCACAGTGAGTCTTTCCTCTCTCCAATTTCAACTGAGCCCTTGATAAAGGCTGCAGGACACATAACAGACCCTGTCGTCGGTGACCACTGCACTCACAAGTATCTGCAGGCATCTGTGTGGCTCTGCATGTAGGGGAATGAAACTCCCCTAACAACTCCCAAAGCAACATCCACTCCCATTCTAACGGAGGGAGCACAGAAAAGGTCTAATTCACCTGAATTATTGAAAGTTGTCAAAGGTTATCATTTGCACATGTATTTCTTTTAAGGACACAGGTGCAGAGATTCCTAGGGGAAGGAAGTACAGTTTCTCTTATTAAACTTCAAACTCACAAGGGATGATACCCATTCATGATCCTAAAAATTCTGCTGGGTGGCTTCTAACTTTCATCCCATGGAAGTGTAAAGTGTGTGTGCTTCACAGCTGATCTGACAAACCCAGAGGAAAGAGGAACAAGCACCAAGAGTACAAGTTCAAGCACAGTGGCCATGAGGGCCTTGGAAGTGCAAGACTGCCCACACATCCAACCCCACTGATTACTCCATAAAGCAGGGTACCCTAATTCCAGGTTCGTGGCCTGGCTTGTAGGGAGTTGTGGTAGGGAACCCAAAGGCCGTACCTCTCTAGTGGTTTGAGTTCACCTTCGGTTCTGCAAGAAAGACGGGCAATAGCCTCCTCTGTGATATACAGCCTTGGAAACTATACTGAAGGGTCAGTTATGAGTTGGTTCAGACTTGAATTATGTCATGTATCATTGCTTTTGATGGGACTCAAAGTTAATCTTTTACACATTTAAATGTTTCTTATATAGGAAGAGTATAAAAAAAGGAAGTCACTAACATTTCTTTTTCAAAAATTAAAAATATGGAAAAATCACTCTTCGTTTGTAAGCCGCATTAAGAACGGTGGTGGATGGGTCTGGAGTGGTGCTAGGGGTTGAGGGAGGTAAGTGACCCAAAGTAATCAACAAGGATGGAGGCAGAATATTGGAGCAGAGGTGATAAACTTGTTCTTAGCCTTTCTCTGTCTCCCGCCCTCTTTAGAAGCATCATAATCTCTCTTGCCTTAAGTTGTCTCGTCGAAAGAGAAAGTAAATCAGATGATGTACAAAATCCCTTCAAGTCAGTATCTAAGGTCCCTCCTCCAAAACAGATTGTTCACTGTCACTGAGGTGGAACCAGCTCTTAGCTCACCCTCCTAGCCTTGCAAATGCTGCAAAGTGTATGAAAGAAGACTGCCTCCCTTCTCCCTCAGAGCTGCTAATGGGTTGGAATCATCAGTTGCCCTCTATGGGTAAGCAGTGCAGCTCCCTACAGACTACGCCATGAAAGCTCCCTCTACAACGAGTCAATAGAAACCTACACACGAGAAAAGTTCAACAACTGGCAAATCAAAATCTCTGAACACGTTCACAGGGTTCACGTGAAGGCAAACCCTGCGGAAGATAAATAGCATTTGGGAAAGCACATATCTAAACTATAAAGATGATAACTTACTGTCCAGATTTCATTTACATCCCTCTTCCTTGCTGTACAACAGATTAAGCAATTTATTCTTGTGGTATGAACTATAGTAAAAGATCCCCTTAAACAAACTGAAACCAACTAACTTTCTTAGCTTGGAGTGAAGGAGACACACACAGGTGAAAGGGCAACTGTAATAGGCTATCACAGAAGCAAAGGGAAGCAGAGTAGAGCAGGTGGCAGGGGAGTAAGAGACTCTGAATTGTGAGGAGGAATGAGGGCTCATCTGGAAAAGAGAAACTGAGTCAACAGTGGGAGTGAGCCAAAGCTGGAGAGGTGGGCATGGGTAAGGCCATTACGATGCAGGAGCACACCTCCTATCTAAGGCTGTGGTGGGACTTAAGACTGGCCATATGGCAAACTCAAGCTCAACACTTCTCAGCACTCCCCCAAGAATTAGAAAGAGGGCGAAGGGCAAACTAATCAGAAAGCTACAGCTAGCAGAGAATTACCAGGACTTGAAAAGTGATAGGAGCAGGGACCTTGAATTAGAAAAACAGGTTAAGAAAATTTTTTTCCCAGTTTAAAAAAAAAAAATTGCTGTTTTGGTGGTGTACACAGTCGTTTAAGTTCCTACACAAACTCCTCACTGACAAAGGTCAGATAATGGAATTCTATAAAAGTGTAATTATCCAGCTGTGAAAGAGGGTCCGTGCTGACACTGTGGTTCACTTGAAGCTATACAGCCAAGCAAGACAAAGAATTCAGAAGGAAGAGAAGATGGGAAACAGCATTATTGCGCAAGGGAGCCAACCTCAAAGACAAACTACAGAATGTGATCAGCCAACCTACGAACGATCTGGGATGCCACGTGATACCATCTCCTCATAGAGAAGCATTTAGGTTAGTCAGTGGGAAAGCATGGCCTCTGGTCACACAGAGAAAATGCAGATGAACTCATAATGTAAGGTTCATTTATAAAGGCAGATGACTTCAGAAGGAGAATACTCTAAAAACAAACCAAACACAATTTACTTGAGAGAGAGACACTGTTTAAAGCACAGTAATGTGGCACTGACTGTGGATGGCAAGTTACAGAGAAAGCGGATTAAAGAGGATAAATGCCAACAGCTTAAGGTAAGGAAAGAAGACGCTGGCAGCATCATCCAAAGGCTCCACACAGGTCTACTAGACACAGAATGGGCAGAATCGCTCCGCTTCCCTTGTTCTCCAATATGGGGGCAGAGGAAAGGGTCACATATCAGCTGTCGGCCCAATGCCCACACCCACCCCGTGAGATCACTGCAGTGCAAGCTGATAGTCACACAGGTGCTGCTGCAGAGTAGTTAGTAACACTCACCTTTCCCATTAACTGCAAGTCCTGTGGCCATAGCAGCAGTCACTGAGCCGGGCGCCTGAGGCACTAGTTGGTGTATCCGAGGCCGGCTCCCCATTCTGGCTCGCTCTGCGCCAGGGCCCAGCAGAGCTCCGACAGGCTTCTCTGCAGCCACCTCCGGGGTCACCGTGTCCTCCTGGCCCTGCTCTATGGGATCCAGTTTCTCAGGGCTCTCGTTCTGAAAGCCATCCACTGCTGTCCGGCTCTTAATGGGGCTCTTAGGCACTAGTATCTTTATACCTGATTTTGCGAGGTCCATATTCTTCCTGTTGGAAAGAGATGGGGCTGTGTTTTTCCTGAACTTCTGGCTGGCAGCAAATAACTGGCTGTTTTTTGAGTCTTGGTCTTTGCTAATCACGAGTGACTTAGGAGAGGTCTTAGAGAAGCTGCTGTTGGTAGATCTGGAAATTTGCTTCCGAGCATTGTTTGGAGAGGTCCTGTTTGTCCTGGTTAAGATGCTCTCCTTCTGCTTTTCCGTATGGCGTCTGTTGAAATCGTGGATGTACTCCTCACAGTTAACAAGGTGCTGCTCTGGCTCCCACGTGTCATCCTCACTGTCATAACCTTTCCATCGCACCAGGTACTCCGTCTTCCCTTTCTTATTTTTCCTTTTGTCAACAATTCTTTCAACCTGTTTATAAAAGGGGGAAAAAAAGTTATTTGCACGAAAAGTACCAGTTCCATGAAAAAACATCAAAAGAAATAAAAACGATGGCAGACAAATGAAAGCTATCTTCTCCACCCTCCTCCCAATCATCTGGAAATAAAACAGTAAAGATTACTGAGAATTTGAGCAATTTCCTTAAGTCAAAACACAATGCTGAAATGTCATGCTATGAATACTAGCTCAGGGGAGGTGTGTGTGCGTGTTTCAGAAAAAGCTTCTTTATGGCGTGCTTGGGTGGCACATATGGTTCACATGTGTGACTACTAACTGAAAGGCAGGTTTGGGTCTACAAAGAGGTAGATACCTTGGAAGAAAGGCCTAGAGATCTACTCCAGAAAATTTGCCACCAATACCTCTATGGACACATGTGGACTGTCCAGGAGTCAGAGCTGACTCAGCAAAACACAGCTTTAATTTTTACAACTATATTAAGCCCAAACCACTTGAACTGGTTTTCACAAGCATAGCTGGGTCTGTACTAGTCAACCACAGCTTTTGGTCAGGTCATCTTTCTGGTTACCAAAAAGAGCTTGGCTACTGTGAGGGAAGGCCACCAGTTAGGAGGAGGAGAAGGAAACCTTGTTATGGGGAACTGGCTTCTTCAGCTAACACATAATGATGAGCTTTATCAGCACCATTCTGGAAACTCCGCTATCTACAAAAGATCAACAGTTTTCAACATTTTGTTATAATAAAATGATCTAGAATACTTCCAGGTTATTTGCCTCCAAATCTTAGTTTTAAATAATTTCACTCTGTTATCTTTAAAAAAAGATGCTGTTAGTTTTATAGCATGATGGGCAATATACCTTACATTAAATATGTAAGTCCACGTAGCATAGTCTGTAAACAAGTTGTTATTTTGATAGATTCTAAATGCTTAAGTGTTAGAAAGAAAGGTTATGGCTCACATGAACACAAAACATCTGACAAAATGTACTGTGCTGGTCTGCAACCCAAAAGGTGGACAGTTTAAATCCACTAGGCTTTCTGCAGGACAAAGATGGGCCATCTCTATCCCATAAATATTGATAAACCTGGAAAACCCTGGGCTTCCTGATAGACAGGTTAGGAGTTCCAGGGTGGAAGAGTACCAGTTGGAGGCACAGCACACAGCAATAACGGAAATGGGCTTCAAAAGAAAGGACTTGCAATCCTCTTCCAAAAGGTCACAGTCACGAAAACCCTGACACGCCTTTACACACATGGAGTTGCCATAGGTCTGGTTAAATTGTCTTACTGTTTTTAACAATTTTGGAGACTCGTAGTGGTGCAAAAGGAGCCCTGGTGGCACAGTTGTTAAAGTGTTTGGCTACTAACTGACAGGTCAACTGTTAGAATGCACTAGCCACTCTGTGAGAGAAAGAATCTTGACATCTGCCAAGATTTAAAGTCACTGTGAGTCACCACCTCAATGGTAGTGGATTTGCTTTAGGTTTGTTTTGATGTTGAGACAATTAATTTACTCAGCTAATAATAGAAAGATGGAAAGTTTAAGCCCACCTCGAGGTGCTACAGGAGAAGTCTTGTGATCTACATCCAAAAGATCAGCCACTGAAAACCCTACAGAGCACAGCTCTCTACTCAGATATGCACACTGTGACCATGATGCCACTTCAATTCAGCAAGTAACAAGTTACAGACGATGCTTGAATGGGGGAGCAAGACCCACTCTGAACCATGCCCTCCATCCTCTCCCTAATGTGCAAAAACAAAGACTCCAAGGCGTCTACTTAGAATAAAAGAGAACTAAAGCCATTAACAACAGACCAAACCAAAATGAAATATGTATCACTGGTTCGGTACAACAAGGACTAAGAGAGTAAAGAAAGACCTTGTTCCACCAGAAGGCAGATTTCATGCCCAGCAATCCTCCACAGACACTGTAATTGAAATCAGATCTACATATAAGTTTAGAGTCCAGCTCTCTCAAGGAGAGCCCGGAAAGTGATTTCTTCCTTGCTCCTTCACCTGAGTATCGTTACACATAAGGGTGTAAGTATTTAAAGTACAAGATATTATTTCTGGAAAATTCTATGAAAATCAATTTCATGGCAGGGATAGTTTAGAAGTTTTACATTCAAGGGAGCAAAGAGATTATCGCTTAAGGGAAAATTATGTTTCATACTTAATTTTTTCCAAATCCATTTTTCATTCCAGAAGCATGAAGTAAACAAAACCAAGAACACCTTTATTTCTTACCCCTCATTTCTTAAAGCAGAAGCAGTTTTCTCCTTTCTCCTGCCCTTAAAGCATGGATCCTTTTCCTTTCCCACATCTACCTTAAAGTGCTGATATCCCACCAGGCCTGATCTCCATCTTACAGAGAGGAGACACTGCAGAATTGCCTGAGCAGCTGACAGCAAGGTACACGTTACTTGTGCTTACACATACCCTATTCACAGACTATGCACGCTGAAAAGCAGCAATGATAAAAGACACATACAACAGAAGTGACTGAACTTCTTAACTCATAGGCGAAAATGTAAATAGTGTAGGTTTATGGGATTATACACAGTATCTCCCTCAGTTGGACCACTGGAACACAGGAGAACCCCAGAGAATATGTAAATAAATGAAATGAGGGGATATTAAACAAACAGACCAAATTCCACTTTATTTACAGATATGAAACTTTGATTTCAAGTGTCTCAAAATGTTCTCCTTTTGAATTTGCCCATTCCCAATGATTTAAAAATGTAGAAACCATTCTTAGAACTGTTCCATAGGTGTGATTTGCTAGTCTAACAGCTCCTGCATGAGAATAAGAGGGAACTGAAGATATTCAAAGCATACACATGACAAGGAGATGAGAACAGTGACAATAACTAGAAAGAGAGGATGGGGTGTTTATTCTAGCTTGAAAGCTTACATTATAAAAGCTTATAAACACCAATTTCAGCCTTCATGAGTTTTCTTCCTCAATTCAAAGAAAAAAGTTCTTTCCTCTTATAAATCTCAAAAGCAAAACCATACTGGTCCCTACAGTCTGATAGTTAAATGAATCTTACTAAAATTTAGATTCAGTCTGATCATTGTTGGAATATTAAACCTAATATTACTTTCAAAGAACATTTATGGTTGTGAGGCAGTAAATCCTTTCACAAGATAAACCCATAATAAATCTTACACCAAGTTTTCAGTCTTTTGCAATGCGTTTTTCCCACCTCAACAGGACTGTTTATAAATCTACCTACCCATCACACTGGGAAGCAGGAATGGCATCCACTTCCTAAACTAGATGCCTCTAGAAAATCCACAAACTCTCTAAACTCTATAAAATGTACAGATAATTATATTAGTTATAGAACAGACTTCAGGTCTTTTGTGCAAAGCTTATTCGACTGACTTGACAACACTTAACCACTGCTGAGACTAGTACTTGTTTTATCTGGAGGAACTCTCCTCTTTGTACATCCCTCTTTGTCCATGTGCTGTATGAAGTAACCTGGGTTTGCTGTGATGCTGAAATTTGTGCCATTAGGGTTATCAAATACCATAATGGTTTCCCAATGTGAAAAGTGTTGGGTGGAGCTCCCAGGTTTAAAAGCAGGAGTGGCATCCACTTCCTAAGCCACATGTCCCTGGAAACTGTATTAACTTGGAGAAATGGTGATAGTTATGGAAAGGCATTAGATTTTTTATTCAGAGTTGCTATGAGTTCAATCAACAACAACAACCATCAAGGAACAATGTTGTCACAATCAAATGCTGATACTCTTGAAATTGTAACATTTAAATGTAAATAACCTTACACATAATTAACACTTTGAAAAATGATGTTAAAATTACACTAAATTCAGTCATGTTCTAGACTCTTACATGCCAAGACAAAATTAAGAAAAAAATGGAAATGAGATAAAAATTACCCAGGTATACTGTTTTGCAATAACAACAATGCTTTTCAAGCACATCTGGAGTAAATTAAGTTCTAAATCTGAAAAAA